CCGGCCCCGGGAGCCCCACGGGGCTGCCCCCGCACCCCCCGGTGGCGTTGCTGCCCTTGCCCCGGCTCCTACCGCTGCGCCAGGCTCCAGCGGCGAGGCCCGGTTGTCTCTTCCTCCCGAGCGTTTGTGTCACCCGCTGCTTTTCCAGCGCTCCTGCAGCCCGGCTCCTGTTCTTGAGGAGATACTCCGAGTCATTCGCACCCCGGAACAGTTCAAGAAGCCTGTATGGGGTTCGGGGTTCTCCCACTCCCAGGTACTACCCGAGCTGATGGCAGCCAAGTCCTGCCCACCCACCAGTTAACACCTCGCAGCTCCATCCATTCTCTTCTCCTCGTCCTTTTAAAGCAGATAATAGAGATTTCTGCATTATTTTAACATTTTACACCTACTTTCAGAGGAATATTTTAATTCCGGAAGAAGTACCGCATTTGCACGCTCCTGGGTACCTCTTCAGCGCCGAGTGACGTCAGGAAGGTGTATCAGCAACTCCTTCCAGGTGCTACTTACCAAATTAAAAGTGGTGGGGAAAAAACCAAAGTTACAGGGCAGCAACTGGTTTTACCTAGCCGGAGTTACTCCTCCTTTACTCCTGCTTGGAACCAGCAGCGATGCACGCAGGGGAAGGGGCTGCTGAGGCGGGTGCCCTGGCTGTTCCGAAGGAGGCCGTGTGGCTGCCGTTCACCCCTGTAGCTAAAAACCAGGTCAAACCCAGGATTTAAATCTCCTTCTCTTGCCTAAAACTCTTGCCCACCCCACCCTCCCCAGTTTCCGTCAGAAGTAATTTCACAGACATCGGATCCCAAGCAGTCTTGAATAATTTATGGCCTGGAGGGTAACAACCCCTTTTCATGAATACCTGGAGCCTCCCACTGATAAATAATGAACTGCCCGCACCTTAACGGTACCCAGAATATACAAGCGTTGGTTTTTGCGGCAGGGGCGGTTTTTTAGCTTTCACCCAGCCTCCTGATGTTGGACGTAGGGAGCGTTACCATGGCGAGAAATCCCAACTAATAACATGACCCATAAAATTTATTAAACATTCTATTTACAACTATTTACATATCCTTCCATAGATTAATATTAAAATAGACAATATACAATTTAAGAATTTTCATTCAAAGGCATTTTGTTGGAAAAAATAGGCTCTGTTACGAGACCGACACGTAAGAGCAAAAGGGGGGTGGTGGGGTTTTTTTTGTTGCTTTACACAAAAATATTTTCGGTATAGTAAGTCCTAGGTATGGCATTATGACAGCAGACTACTACGAAATATGATTTTGTAACTACTACCGTTGCTCCGGCGTCCGTTACTGAAGGAGTTAGGAGTTCTGTGAGGCATGCAACACGGTTCAGTTTCAACTCTTTCACAGCCATGGTGATGGAACGAGCAGGTGAATCAAACACATGCCATACGGAAAAAGAACTGCCAGCCAGGAACACGCTACACTTAAGAAAAACTACAACTTTGGTCCAATAAAACATTAGACAAAACCAGTTTTACAGTTAAAATATCTATTTTTATACAGGTTTGAACATTAATTACAAGACTATTTACATTTGCACAATATGTATAAAATAAATTATTTAGAAATGAAGACAATATTACATCTTTTCCCAAAAAGAAAAATGTACAGTAATTTACAAAATATAATAAGATTAATAGACAATTTCCTCCACGTCTTACACTTGCTTCCACAGGCTTTTTCATCATCTTTCTGTGGGAGTTCAACTGTCACTGAAGTTTCGCCATACAAAGCTCTATAGCAGATCTTAAGCATCGTTTTTCTGGTGGCCGTTTTACAGCTTCCAGCGCTGTTAACTCACCACGTTTCCTCACCTTTTTCAGCAATAAACTCTAAAGCTACAGGCAAATTCGAAGTACAGATAACGGCCGCACCTGGGGAAACCGACTTTAAAGTTAGCATCCGTCTCCCACGTCCCAGCAAGAGCCCGCGCCACCCTGCTCTGCAGGAACACCCCCGTCACCGGGAACGGTGGCCTCCCACGGAATTAAGTGCTCTGTCTGAAAAGAAGAATACCTTTGCGTATCACCGCGCCTCCAGCTGTGCCAGGGAAAGGGGGAGCCGGGAGACGCTAGCTGTCATATCGGCGTCAATTCAAAGTCATCGTTAACGTCAACAAGAGGAACGTAAAACTCCTGGATTTCATAAATGCTGATCGATTTGTATGTAGCAGGATCCAGTTCTTGCAGTTTAAGCTGCCACTCCAGCCTCTGTACCGCATTCAAAGCCGCTGCTTCGTGCTGCTGCCTCATCAGAAGGCACGTCTGTTTTATAACGGAAAAAGAAGTTATTTCTCTATATGTAAAAAATATTGCAATGAGTTTGAAAATAGAAAAAAAGTATCTAGGACCCCTCTGGTGGTAGTAATGAACTTCCCTGCTAGGTATTTAGAAACTTGAAGATTATTCCCCTACACTACAGAGCAACAAAGGTGAGTTCTTTATACTGCCAGATCCTTCCCCCGCTTTTTGTTGCCCTTAAAAGCTCCACCATACCAGGTGACACTGCACACAAATCTACCATTTATCCATCTCATCTTCACAGTGGCGGTGGAGTTTTGGGGGTGGGTTTTTTTGAAGTGGAAAGTCAAAGAAGCGTACCTTTAATTTGTCAAACTTATCATCAACATCCTGCAACCAGGACATAAACTGTCGTGCATTAAATCGATCCCGCACCGATGTTTTGCTGTCATCGGCCTGCAAAAAAAAATTTATTCAGACTAAGTTATTTGATGATTCAGATTCACAGAGTGGTGGGGGTGGGAGGGCCCCCCAAAGAATCT